TTGCGTTACATGTCTCAGCACGGTCTCATCCTCGGTCTCCCTGGCTCGCTTCCTGCCCTCCCTCCCTCGCCTGCGCCGCCGTGCACGCCCTGCGTCAAGGGCCAGCTGCGCCATGCTCCTCACTCCTCCTCGCTTCGCCCTGCCACCGCACCCCTCCAGACCCTGCACCTTGACGTCTAGGGCCCAGCCCCCCTCCCTGGACCGCGTCGCAAGCGCTACTTTCTCGTGATCATCGACGACTTCACGCACTACACCACGGTGTTTCCCTTGGAGCGGAAGGCCATTGTGCCTGGCGTTCTTATCCCGTGGGTCGTAGCTACGCACCTCCACCGTGGTCTCCCTGTGCTATGTCTCCACTCCAACCGTGGCTGCGAGTTTGCCAGTCGTCGGCTTGGTCAGTTCTGTTGTGTGGAGGGCATCACCCGGTCGTACACTCAACCCGACTCCCCGCAGCAGAATGGGATCACTGAGCGACGCATCGGCTTGGTCATGGAGGTGGCTTGCACCTCCATGATTCATGCCGGTGCACCCCATTTTCTATGGCCGTTCGCCGTTCACTACGCCGCTCACCAGCTTAACATGGGGCCGCGTTCCCAGCGGCCGCAGGTTTCGCCGACCCTCCTTTGGACCGGGTTCCCTGGTGACACGTTCGTGTTCCACGTCTGGGGCTGCATTGCTCACGTTCATGCCTCTGGCACGGACAAGCTCACGGCCCGCACTATCCCTTGTGTCTTCCTCAGTTTCCCCCTTGACTTGTCCGACTGGCACTTCTACCACCCGCCGTCTCACTGCTTCTTTCACTCCCGTGACGCCACTTTTGACGAGTCTATCTCCTTTTACCACCGCTTTCCCCACCGAGGTCTCCCGGTTTCCCCGCCCTTGTTTCTGGTTCCCACTCCCCCGGTAGCCCCTGCTCCCCTCCCTCCCCGTCCTGCTCCGTCTGATGTGTCTCACGTCACTCCCCTCCCGTCGGTTGTCCCGGTCGAGGAGTCAGCTGACTCTGGTGGCTCCGCGGTGCCGTTCTCGCCGCCGGCCTCCCCCCCGGTGAATCCTCCTCCGCCGTCGCGGCAGTCACCGCCAAAGCAGCAGCCGCAGCCATCACCGCCGCCGCAGCCGCAGCACCCGTCGCCGCCGCCGCAGCAGCAGCAGCCGTTCGTGGACTCTGGGGGTGCTGGCGTTGAGGAGGGTGATAGTTCTGGGGATCCTCTCGTGGCTTGTCCCGGCAGGCCTGGGGGTGGCACCAGTGCTGGAGAGAGTTCTCGCTCTGGGGGTGCCCGTTCTGGGGGTGCTGGAGTGGAGTGTTCCGGAGGTAGCCGTCGAGCAGCAGTAGCAGCAGTCGCCCCCGGGGTCCGCCCTTCGCCTGCTCGACCTTCCCTCCCCTGACCGCTCGCCTTCACCTCCCCCCCTGCCCCCTCCTCTTCCTGTCTACAGCCCTGTGTTTCCTCCGCCAGACTCATCTCCGGCGCGTCTTCCCCCTCGTTCCCCTCGTGTGTCTCCTCCTCTGTCCCCTGACCCGACACCTCCCTCTCACGTCTTGTCTCGCCATCCCTCTCGTGCTCGTCATGCCTCTCCTATTCAGCGTTCTCACCCTATGTTGATTCGTTCCCACGCGTCTCGTCCTCCCCTCCTGCCTTCGCCTCCTCCTTCGTTGCTCGTTGTCGCGCCTCCCCCTCTGTCTGACTACCTTTGTGCCGCTCGTCCTCTTGTTCCTCGGAACCTTGCCTCCCTCGTTACTGACCCGTCTGTCCCTGTCTCCAATCTTGACGTTCTTGTCGCTGTTGTCGCTGACTTTCCCTCTAACCGCCACCTTGACTACGCCACTGCTCTGGTCTCTGACCTTGTCTGTCCTCCGTCCGTCGGGGGTGCGTCTGCCCTTGGCAGTGATGTCCTAGAGGACATACAGTACGAGCTTGCTTTCCTGTCAGAGGCTGCTCCCCATCTCTGTTCCATGCTGCTCGTCCTTGAGGGTGACCCTCGCACTTACGCTGAGGCGACCTCGGGACCCTGAACCTCACAGTGGATAGGTGCCATGGAACAGGAGATGACATCTTGGAGATCCACCGGCACTTACATCGACGCAGTTCCCCCACCTAGGGTGAACGTAGTCGATGGCCGGTGGCTCTTCAAGGTGAAGCGCCCCCCTCGATCCGCCTGTGTTCAAGGCGCGCTACGTGGCTTCAGGTAGCATGAGGGGGTGAACTTCTTTCAGACCTTCGCCCCGACCCCAAAGATGACAACTCTTCGGGCGCTGCTACACGTAGCAGCACATCGTGACTACGAGTTACACTCCCTTGACTTCTCCACAGCGTTTCTCCATGGCAGCCTACACGAGCAGGTCTACCTACGCCAACCGCAAGGCTTCACCGGTACCTTCCCTCCTAGGATCCAGTGGCTCCTCCGGCACCCGGTCTACGGCCTGCGACAGGCGCCCCGTGAGTGGCACGATACGCTGCGTGCTACGCTAGCTGACCTGTAGTTCTTTATGTCTTCTGCAGACTCCTTGCTCTTCCTTCATGCAGGTCTAATCCGCTCTACATCCTTGCCTACATACAGTGGCGGAATAAATTGTCCACATGTTCAGCCTTTTTTGGCATTTTGATGAGTGCAGCGGCGTAAACATTAAGCCTTAATGCATGGTGTGCATACACGCAGAGAAGTTCAATTAGCTGATCTTGCACTCGTGCTGATCTTGCATACCCTCTTAGCATCCTAGCTCGCTTTGTGGCCACAGGCAGACACCGATCCCAGCACTGGTCAGCCGCTAAGAGGGTTTTGTGTTGTCTATCAAGTACATCGGGCACCGGGTTAGTGCTGGGAGAATGCAGGCCAGTGGTCCTTACTGGGCACACTGACGCTTCTTGGGTAGACGACGCAGAGACCCTCTGGTCCTCCCAGGGCTACTACTTTATCCTTGGTTCAGGTGCCATCTCGTGGAGGTCCACTTGCTCCTCGGCTGTTGCCCAGTCTAGTTGTGAGGCTGAGATCTACGCCGGTGCCATGGCGGCACAGGAGCTCCGCTGGCTGACCTTCTTGCTCACTGACTTAGGTGAGCGGCCTAGCTCTGCCCCAGTTCTGTACGCTGACAACATGGCCATGATCCTCCTGTGTCAGGAGCTTTGACTTGAGGGCAGAGCAAAGCACATCCAGCTGCGGTACTTCCTCCTGCGCGAGCTACAGCAGCGTCGCCATGCCCGCGTAGTGCACTTGGCCTCCGGTGCCAACACAGCTGATATCTTTACTATGGCGCTTGCGCCTAGAGATTATCAGCAGCACTGTTTGCAGCTTGGTCTAGTTCTTGTAGAATCTCACTTGCTAGGACCTTGATTGTGTACTCCTCTTCTATATATCTTTCAAACTGGCCTTGTGGCTTCTCTTCTAGTGGCCAGAGTAGTAGTGCCGCCCTGGTTTGCTCCTGTCTTGTTTGTACTCTTGCTGACTGGTCTTCGGACCTTTGTCTCAGAGGTTGGACTAGTAGTGCCACCCTGAGCTGTGTGCCTCTTGCTCAGCACTACCCCTTATCTAGCCTAGGGGGTGTGTCAACTTATACATACATTTGCATGTAGAAGTTATAGGGTAGAATAGGTGTGTGTTCTTAGAGAGTACAACCCAAACCCTATATCTCCCTTGTTCTCCCTTCTTGCTTATCATTCTTGTATTCTAACAAGATTGACTCTGATTCGTGTAATACCATGATTGGGGGTGGGGATGGCGTGATTTACCTGTGGGGGGCGCTGATTGGCCCTTAGCCAAAATCAGGGCGGAATGCGTGCTCGGGGCTTTGTGAGGGCGGTTACTGACCCTTCAGCAAAATCGAAGGCCGATGCGTACTTGGGGCTGTGTGAGGGAGCTGACTGGCCCTTCACCAAAACCAACTCCGAGTTTGTGATGCGTGCGGTGTGAGGGGCCGTTTGGCCCTTTAAAAAAATTGCCGAGGTGTGCTGTGGGCTGTGTGTGCAAGGGCGCCCATTGGCCCTTCACGAAATAGCCACCTGGATGGCCCCGATTTCCCTACCTCCCCTGCATTTTTTATTTGCCCGCCCCCCAATTCCTTTCCGCCCCATCCCTCAAATTCGTCCCCCACACGCAATTTGCCACGATCCCGTATCTCCACCAACCAATTTCGTCATCGTACCTCAGGCACGCGAAATTACTTAACGCGGAACGGGGAGGGGGGGGGATAAGAAACTCTTGAAATACTCATATGAAAATTTAAAATTCGTATTTCAGTCTGTCTGGGAGATTAGAAAAAGTAAAAATCTTCTGTCAGGCATGGCGAGAGCATAGTTTTGAACAGGTACATTACCGAACAGGTACTTCTAGCAGATATAAGAGTAGCTTGTATCACTTCAATTATTAACTTGTTCTTCAGTAAATTATGGTCAACACTTACAAGTTCTAAGACTTCTGCTATCTTACTAGTCTACCATTCCAGCAAAGATCCTTGCTCGAAGTCTTGAAGTATCAGAAGGCTATAACAGTGATTCTGGTGTTACAACTTGTTAATATTGGCTGTTATGGGAGGTACTTTCAGTATTACTTTCTACTTCAAGTACTTATGTCAGCAGATTCTATACTTTGTCTCCTGCACCTCTTTTCAATTTCCTACAGAAGGAAAGCCATTCTCGTTGAGTGAAGCTAACGGTGATACCTTGTTGTTGTTTTCATATTGTTCACAATATCGACACACGCATTGCCCTGCCTTTGAAGACTTTGACCGTACTATGTTATGCTCGAAGTTTAAAGCGAGTGCACATAATAACTTCAAGGTTCAAAGTTTTTTTAACATGCCGAGTGGTGAAACCAACGACCTCTCGCACAAAACACACTTGGTAACCCAGTTTCAACTCGAAGGGGGGAAAACTGCTTGGGGGGGCTTCTCAAACATCATGCGACGGCCGTGCGATGCACTCTTCCCACCCAGCAGAAGCGCATCTCCCCACCACGCCAAGATGCAAAACATCTTGAAGTTTATTTTGTGCTCGCTATCCATGCCTCCATACCTGCCATTGTCGCGTCCACGCACAGCGCGATGCCATCAATTTCCAAGTTTAAGGTACCACACGCTGCACATTCTATATCATGTCCGCTATTACAATCTTTGAGGAAAATTTCCATGTATTGACTCTTGTTTTCCGTGCTAGCAAACGGGCTAACGGCAACATTTCTGACTTTCTCATCCAGCAAATCATTCGTTATAAGAGCGACATTGTCCTTGTGTAATCCAAACTTCACGTCCAACATATTTTTTTTTTACGCACCTATTTTTGTGTATACAAAATATGATCGACCGTAAGCAGCGTCAAACGCTTGTTGAAAGCCCGAATATGTGTAAGCTTTCTTATGGTGCTTTACAACAAACTTGAAGTCGTGAGCAGTTGCTCTAACACCGATGAAGGGAGGCTCTGGTAAAATTTGAAGCTGCAACATTGACTCGTAGATGCAAAACTGATCTTGAAGATCGTAGCCAGCTTTCCGTACATGACTTCCTGGCCCATTCAGATGCGACATCCTCTTTTGCTCGCTCTCTGTAACCATTGTGCTCACAGTACGAGATGTATCTTTGCCACATGAAGTGTTGTAAATGTTGACCGTCTGATAAGCATCATCCAAAACATTGGACGACTGGGATCCTGATTTTGAAGAGGCATCATGCAACAAATAGAGAGAAAACACCACAGAAGGACGTGCCCCATTGCTTACCCAGTTTCCAGGTACATGACGATCGCGCAAAACCTCGCACATTCGGAACTCGACTTGTTCTAGATCCATGCTTACTCTATGCTCAATATCACTGTTGCTGTCACATACCTTGTTGCTCCGTTTTTCGAGAGGAACTTTCATTATCTGTTGCTGTATACCATTATTAATGTCACAACATTTCTCATCTAGGCACTTACCATTCCTCATCTGCCGTTGGAAGTCGTGTGAAAAGGCTCCACTCAATGTATTCTTCCTTGGAGCGGTCATCGGAACGTCAATGAGCTTTGTCTCATACAGTCGGTCGTCTCGCATTGCACCATTACTAGACGGTCCTACAAATGACATACGTCGTGCTTCTGATACATATCTAGTGCCATACACGACTCCAAACTCTGATGGAACCAATAAAGAATAGTGCTTAGCTGACAAATCGAAATGTAAATGCATCACTGGTTGAGATGCACTCGCACGGAAACACGCGATAAAATGACCTGTGAAGGGCCAAATAATTGAGTTTGTATCGAAAACAACCGAAAAGGCCTTCACCTCAGTGCTAGAGCCCCACTCGTTACGACGTGAGACGTGTCCATAATACTTGTGATCGGTGGCAAAAGTTTGCCTATACGGAGTGTTCGCTATTGTCGGATAATCATATTCCGGGTTGTTCCATTCTAAAGCCACATCTCAATAAGACGATACTTCACCTCTGGGTAATTACCTTGTGTACCGAACAACCACAAGGATAAGCTACGATAAATGCAATTCCATCTCGAATAATCGGGCAAAATTTTAACCTGTACTGTTTTTCAAACTCACCATCAGATCTCTCACCGGTAACTCTGGCGCTAGAGTTTGATGATGACGCCATGCTTCTCCAAAACCTAGTGGAGAAAGCATGGAGAGAGAGAGAGAGAGAGAGAGAGAGAGAGAGAGAGAGAGAGAGAGAGAGAGAGAGAGAGAGAGAGGAGAGGGAGAGAGAGAGAGAGAGAGAGAGAGAGAGAGAGAGAGAGAGAGAGAGAGAGAGAGCGAGCGAGAGTGAGAGAGAGAGAAGGGGGGGAGAGGGGGGGAGAGGGGGGGGGGGGGGGAGAGAGAGAGCGAGGGGAGTAGCGAGCTATAAAGACCTCTCTCCTCGTTCTGATTCCCCATAATTAGTTTGGCTGATTGAAAAGAGAGCATGTGCCTTGAATCAACGTTTTCAAGAACAGAAAGCGGGTACATATTACAAAACTGGAGAAAACAAAATAGTGATAATTACCGTGTAGGGAGAGTTTACTTGGAAGTGGGATAAACAGGAGTTGACAAGAAAGGGGCAAAGGGAGGAAAGGGGAAAGCACAGAGTGTGATTGAGTTAGACGTGGCGCCGGGAAGAAATAATGAATGAGATGGAGAGAAGGGAGGGGTGGGATAAAGGGGGAGTGGAATCTAAAGGGAACGGGAGATGGAGAGGGATAAGAGAGTGCGATTGGGTGGACGGCGATGGTGGTAGCGCTTGGATTTGACGGAACAAATAGAATGAAAGAGAAGAGGTTGGAAGAGAAGGTGGCAGGGGGAAAGGAGAGGAAAGGAGAGTGGGATTGGGAACATATGCTGGCGGGCATATATAGGGGAAAGGAGAGAGTGCGCTTGTGTGGTCAGCTAAGGCAAGCAGAAATACTGCCTGGATGAAAGGGAGCAAGGGAATAGGAGAGGGGAAGGGGCAAGGGGGGGCGAGGGGACACGGATAGAGTGAGATAGCGTGGGCACCAGTGGAGGGCAGAAGTGGTGCCTGGGAGAAAGGGAAGGAAAGGAAGGGGAGAGCAGGAGGCTGGGAGAGAGAGCGAGAGGGTTAAGTGGCGAACAGGTAAGAGTGCAATTAGGTGGGTTGTGGCAACAGGCAACAGTGCTGCCTGCCTGGGAAGGAGCAATGGGAGGGAAGGGGAGCATGGGGGGTTGGAAGAGGCAGGCAAGGGGGAAAGAGGGGGAAAGGGGAGAGTGCAATTAACTGGGCGGATAAAGTAGTCTGAGATATTGCCTGGGATAAAGGGAAGGGATGGGATGAGAAAGAGCAATTGGCGGGGTTGATGTTGGAGGAGGCAAGGGGGACGGAGTGGGGAAAGAGGTAGCAGCATTGCTTGGGCACCTGAGGTGGGCAGTTGTAGTGCCTGGGATGGGAGATTGGGGGGTTGGAAGAGGGGGGGAAGGAGGGAGAATCAAGGGAGTGAGATTGGTCGGTTAGGGGCAGTTGCCAGAAAAGGTAGGCAGAAAGAGGAACGCCAAGGGAGAAGGAGAGGGGGAGCAATGAATATGGAGAAAGAGAGACTCAGTAGTACAGGGGAATAGAAAGAAGAATAAGAAACGAAGACAGAACAAGAGTGGGGGAGAGGTGGACAGACAACAGGAAAAACAAGGAAGTAACAGAAAATGAGGGACAGAAAGAAGTAGAGACGAAAAAATTAGAGACGCAGGGAAGGAGAGGGGGAACATACCGAGAGCTTGCAGTTTGTCGAATGACCATTCGCGAATACTGAAGGCAGGAACAGAAACAAGAACCCGCCCAATGGAAGGGAAGCAAAGGGTTTGGAGGAAGAAAGAAAGAGTAATTTGGTGGACAGCTGAGAGGGGCATACGTAGTAGCGTGTGGGCTGGAGGAAACTAATGGGATGGCAGAGACAGAGAGAAGGGGGGGGGGGGGGGGGAGGGGGATACACGGCAGCAAGGGGCAGGTGGGGGGGAGGGGGATACACGGCGGCAAGGGGCAGGGGGGGGAAGAGTAGCGGGGCTGTGTGGCGATTGAGGCAGGGGGGAAAGGGGGAGGTGGGCAGGGCGGGATAGGGATTAGTAAGAGAGCGCCACGAGTCCGCGACGAGCGCCACGCTCGCTGCCGCCGTGGAACCGGAGCAAGCCACTTTGGGAGCGGGGAGAGCCTCGCACCCGCTGCCACGGGAGTGCACGGAAGCGCGGCGAGAGTCGCGCTCGCCTCCATGAGTGCGCGACGAGCGCCGTGCTCACTGCTGTAGAAGCGGAGCGAGCGCCGTGCTCGATGCTACGGGAGCGGCGTGAGCGCCGCGCCTGCCACCACGGGAGCGCGCCACGCCACCTGTCGCCACGGGAGCGCGCCATGCCGCCCGCCTCCATGGGTGCGCGACGAGCGCCGCGCTCGCCGCCGTAGAATCAGAGTGAGCACCGCGCTCGCCGCTACCAGAGCGGTGTGAGCGCCGCACTTGCCGCCACGGGAGCGCGCCACGCCGCCCGCCTTCACAGGTGCTTGACGAGCGTTACGCTCGACGCCGTGGAAGTGGAGCAAGCGACGTGCTCGCTGCCACGGGTGCGCGACGAACGGGGTACCAGCATGCCTTGCACAATGCTATGCGCTGGAACTAATATGGCACGTGCCGGTGCTGGGAGTAATGTCCCTATTCTACTAGTTATGCTAATTACTAAGTGAAAGTCCATGGGCTTACCAGAAGATTTGGAGCTGTGAGTAAGTTGCTAGAAATGAGAGTCGAGGTAAATCTGCAGTGATAGATTGAATGTGGAGCTGAAGCAGATTGCAACAATGAATCTAGGCAAGGGGAATACAGAGGAATCAAGAAACGCCCGACCTCCATCCAAATCACGCTTTTATTGATTCAGAACCCAATTTAGGCTGAAACAAAGTAGCCAGCTTCTCACGTAGTTTCTACCGGTTTCAGCATGTGTTTGGACACGTGATCTAACGTGTGACACCTCATACGAAACGGTGCACCTCTGTCCACAATGATTAGGCTCAAATAACTAGGCAGGGGGTCACGGTAGTTGTTCTCATTGTAACCACATCCAAGTTTGCACATTTGAATATTTGAAACTATAACACCGAGTAAAAAAACGCAAGGCCTCTATGCGCCCAATGCGAATAGCACACACCTTTTCCAGCCTCGCTTTAATCTAACAAGATTATTGTACTGCATACATGTGTCTCATCTCTACGACCTTTTTTTTTCACTGTGATTACATGCGTTGTGGTATTCATAATTGGTGCCATGACGATATTTATTCAAACACTCAATCTGCACATTATTTTTCCTATACTTCTCCTACCTGACTTCATTCTTGACAAACCGCGTATGCCATTATCATCTTAAGTACAAAATAATGTTCCTTATGTTGGAAATACCTCGAGGACTTAAGCGTTTCTGAAGTGTAACACAACACTTGAGGAAGATCGTAACGGGTACGCGAGTCAACGGAGGTTACACGAGGGGATGGACAAAGAACACGAAAGGACTCGAAGGGTCGCAACCGGAGGTTGCGACTGACTGTTAAAACTGCAAGGATGGTAACAGAACCGTCAATCGAGTCGCTGTGCGACTCGATAAACCGCTCTTTTAACAGTTCTACTTTCTATATATTGCTGTATGCTTGTTTCCTTTAATCAATCACTTGTTCTCACACACTAGTACAAGGGTTCAACTACTCAACTCCCGCTGCACTACTCAAATTCTCCTTTTACAACTGGGACTTAGTCTCTGGAAAGATCCTAAGGGCATTTTCTCAGCCCAACATGGTATGAGAGCTGGTCAAAGACCAAACTCCCAGCAACTACACTCTATCTACAATCAGCACACCAATGACTTCATTGATTACAAGTCATGGACAGTAAGGGCAAGAAAACCTCTACGGGCTCACCCAGTGCCCAAGACACTCAACCCGGCAACTCTGGACTGCACACTTCAGGACTGCAAACCGAGACCGGCGCTGCTCAAGAAACAACAGGAAGAGCACCAGAAATGGTGACCCCATCACCCTCCTCAAGCGTGGACCCGAACCTTATGGAAAGGTTCTTCAGCTTCATGTCGCACTTCGACCAGCAGCAGCAGACAAGGACACCTGCGCATTCAACACAGAGCAACGGAGGAAACATGGGATTAGCACTGATGAGCCTCGACAACTCATCGTTCGGGTGACACAATCAAGCGCCTACCTTTGCGCCTTATCACTCTTCACCGGGGACGTTCGAGTTCATGCCGCCCCGTGCCCAACCAACAGCAGCTGCATCACAACAGACACCAAACGAGATACTTAGTCTCCAGGCGCAGTTTTCACACGTGATCAAACTGAAGACATCCTCACCGTTCAACGGACACGACTTCTTTACCTGGAGCTTTGAGTTCGAGCTGCTGATGGAGGCTGCGCATCTCTTGGGATACTTCAACGGGTCCCTGCCATTTCCAAGCAATGGCACTGCGAAAGAGCAAGAAATTTTTACATATCAGTCGCTGCCGGCGTACACAGTCCTCCTGCGGAACCTGTCACCACAAGAACAGCAAAGCATCAGAACGTATCGGAGCTACGGAAACTCCGTGGAACTCGCATGGCATCACCTCAAGTGTCTCTATCAATCAAACGATAGCGTGACACAAAGCAGACTCATGCAGCAACTGACAACAATATAGATGAAGACCGGGGAAAAGGCGATGTAGTATATGAGTCGATGCCAGACACTCCACGACCGCCTGCTTCGGTGCGGAGGAACAATCACTGAAGAAAGCTTCGTAACGCTTGTCCTCGTTGGGCTCGGGCCAGAATGGAGAACCACCCGCTCGCTTCTTCGCGCCCACGGACGAATCTCGGAGATGCACCTCTGCGCCGAGCTCCATGCTGAACAAGAGGAGATGGACCTGTTTGAAGAAAGACAACCAAGGAAGCAGCAACCGTTAGTCTTCTACACTCAACGAAGGAACGACAACAACTACAACCGACGCGGCAAGCAAGATCAATGCCGTTCTGCCACAACTGCCAAACATTCGGACACTCCAAAGTCAACTGCACACGTCCCCGAGCTTATCGTCCAGTAGACCCACAAGTCGCTTCCACTCAAGAAAGCCCACCGAGACGTTCCTCCTCATCCGCACAAGGCACACCAAACATCATCAATTGCATGGTACACATCGACAGCTGCGCACCCGGATCACCACCCACTTACGCTCCAGAAGAAGAAGAACTGCCGCCGCCGCGCTCACAAGGACTTCAGGTCAACCCGACATACGCTGCGGTTGCCAACGCCGAACCCACTAGGCGAAACACCTAGTTCTTGGATAGCTGCCGCAGTCAACACATGTGTTCTTCCGGGCGCTTCGTGCAGCGAGAGCGACGCCTCAACCGCGATGTCATCATCACTGTCGCCAACAACGAGAACCTGAAAACAAACCGACAAGGCATCGTCCAACTTCAGTCAATGGAGACGAACGTCATACTGCAACTCAACAAAGTTCTAATCATCGACAACTTGGGATACAACTTACTCAGCGTCAGCCAGTTAATGGCAAAAGGGATTCATCAGGAATGCGACTCGGACTCCAGCGAATTTCGTCTTTACCACGGGAAGGGTGGTCTTTTCATCGGTCGCGCTCTCCTGAAGTCGGGCGTCTTCGTGTTGGATTTCGTCCCCAACCGCGGTACTGCCGACAACGATGGCATCGTGTCGTTCGCCGCATGGACACACCCGCCGGATCTTGACCCCGACTTCACCCCAGATGGTTTCTGGTACTCCAACACCATACCCGCAACAGAGAGAACATGAGCGTTAGCAGTCATTCGACAAGAAAGACAAGTACCAGCAAGCGTCCCTTCCTCGACATTGTTATAATCACAATAGGCTTAGATGTGCCTATAATGAGAGATAGAGAGCACAGTCGGATTTCCGTCAGACGGCTTCAAATATTGATAACGATCTGGTCGCTGAATCAAACGGTGATCTGTAAAATGGATCTGGAGCGCGTTGCTGTCGTCTATCAGCAGCAAGTTGAATCATGAAATTCCATGAAGATTTGACGACGCTATGGCGGTTTGACTGGCAGGAGGTAAAGCAGCCACTATAGTCTTAGGAGTACAAACTTCGCAAGAAGAGTTCGAGAGGGAGATGGTTCCCAGCCTCTACATACCCCAAGAGCCGAGGTCCAGGTTGGTGGTACACCACCACAGTGTCCCCAACCATGAAGAGTCTCGAAACCAACCCTCCAAGGGGCTACACCAAGTGAAATGTAACACTACCCGAAGTAACGTTACTATTTTCACTATTTAATATTTATCCGCGTCCCTTGGGCTTGAAATCTTGAGCTCTTGTTCTTGGATCTGCAAGATAAATTCTTCTTGAGTTGATGGGGGCTTGCTGCACACACCTGCGACACGATGGACACTTCACACTCGACAAAATAGAAAAAACACATGCGACACACAAACGACGACTTGACATGCGAGTTGTAGAAACTCGCTAATGTCTTGACCGACACAAACCACATTGTGATACACCATTCAAACACACACACAAGCACTGGATAGCAATGACATAGACTCACAATTCATTCCATGCCATGCATGCACACACACAAACAAGGACGACAAGCCGAGTGCAAGCCATAGGGTTGCACCAACAGACATCACCTGAAGTAACAGCAGCAGGACCCAGTCGAGTACCATCACCAGCAATCCGAGGACCGCCAACCGAAGCAGATCAACTTATGCCGATCACATGAGAAGTCTGCCGAAGTCCCACCACGGTCGTCGCGTTCTTCTCCAACACCGACATGTACCAACGCTCGCCCGTCCATCGCGCTTCTGACGACATCTGGCACCAACGCCTCGAGCACCCTGCAAACAACACAATACTACAAACCATCCAAGCCGAAGTGTTAGAACGAAACGCTCTTCTTACAACGAGCGGTCAAGAACTTCGACGACCACGCGCACGGTGCTTCACTTGCCCCGAAGCCGATCTTCCCCACCAACCTTTTCCATCACATCACAACCCAAGCGCACCTGCATACGCACCGATGGAAAAAGTTTACAGCGACATCTTAAACATGCCTCGAGACGATACTGAAGCCGACTTCAACTATGTCATCACGTTCATCGATGCGGCAACAAGATATGTCTGGCACTACAACCTCAAGACGCGCGATCAAGCTTTCGAAGCCTTCATGACGTGGCTCCCCATCGCTGAACGAGAATCAAGAACTAAGCTCAAGAGCTTCCAGTCAGACGGCGCACTGGAATACCAGTCACAACGATTCAGGAACTACTTGGCGGAAAGAGGAATCAGACACCTGGTTTCTTTGCCCTATGCTCACCAGCAGTAGGGGGTCGCAGAAAGAATGAACCGGACCTTGCAGACGACGATGCGGAAGCTGCTCCTGGGAATGAGACTGCCCAACGCACTGTGGCCAGACGCGATGACCCATGCAGTCCACCTGCATAATTTTTTATCCTCGTCCTCGCTTCCAAACAACGCATCACCGCATCTGCTGTGGACACGAAAAAGGGGCAGCACAAAATTACTTCGGGTTTTCGGCTGCATGGTACAATACAGACCCCACACAGCCCGAGCAGGACGCTTCACTCAACGAGCACGGTGGGGACTACACCTCGGCATCGCCAAACATTTTCAAGCATGGAAAATCCTCGTCATACAAGACAAAATACCGTGGCATCACGTGATGTGATCTTCTACGAACGACTGACGCTGCAGCATTACCTGGACAACGTCGCCAACACAGACGACCCCACCGACGGCTTCGCGGGCCTTCGCTCCTTCGCCGACTGTGCTGCCGAAGCTGACGCAGCAGAAGAAGACGTACCTGGAGCTTCGGAAGCTGCCGGACCACTCCCTTAGTGTTCCGTGCCTGTTCCACTCGACGAAGACAATCCTCTCGATAGCAACAACCTCGACACCCTTTACCACTTCGCTGACCAAGGTTACATTACACCTCACCCGGTCGACACGAATGTCTCAGAACGCATCGGCCCAAACTTCTTACCTGATCCAGAAGATGGTGACGAAGCAGCCTATTCCGGGAATGAAAATTCCCCTCGACACACACCCACGGGACTGCAGATACTCGGCTTATGGGTCTCCGTCGAGCAACCGCCGCCGCCATCTCCGCGCGAGCCAACGACTCTGTCGCAGGCTCTGGGGGGGGAACATAAGGCGAAATGGAAGGAGGCAATGGAAAAGGAACTGAAAGCTCTGCAAGACCGAAATACATGGAAGCTGGTACCTGCAACGAACATCAACGGGAAGAACGTACTCTCGGGAAAGTGGGTGTACCGCATCAAGACCAATGCGGATGGCTCCATCGAACGATTCAAGGCTCGCTGGGTCGTACGAGGATTCGATCAACGATACGGAACCGATTACACAGAAACATTCGCCGCAGTCTCCCATCACACCTCCTTGCGCATTCTACTCGCCGTCGCGACCACGAAGAAACTACCACTGTGCCAGATCGACATCGCAAACGCCTTCCTGTACGCTACTGTGGACGCCGAGATCTTCGTCGAGCAGCCCCACGGATTCATCGACGACCCCACAAAAGTATGCCAGCTGATAAAATCCCTCTACGGGATCAAGCAAGCTCCGCGGCTTTGGCAGCAGCATCTTCACGGTCGCCTCGTCAGAATCGGGTTCCTACAGCTGCCGCACGACCAAGGCATGTACCGACTTCAGAAGGAAAGGGACTTTATCCTACTTATCGTCTACGTTGACGACCTGCTCTACATCGGCTCCACTACCGACATCGCCACCGGGTTCGAAGGGGAGCTGAGAAGTGACTTGACACTCACGGTGTCTGACACCGTGACCCAGTACCTGGGTCTGAACGTCGTCGAAGACAACTCGGCGTTCTACCTATATGCTGGAAAATACGCAGGCATTGTCGCGAAGAAATTCGGACTAACACCGACTACAGTCACGACTCCCTACTGCTACGGGAACAACAACGACACCTCCGCAAAACTCCCCGCGAAGCAAATCCAGGAGTATCAGCAGAAGCTCGGATGCCTACTATTCGCAGCAGTAACCTGCCGACGTGACCTATCCTACAGCGCGA